ATGTGCTTACTTCCTTGCGTACGGATGACAGCTGCGCATGACTTATTTTACTTTCTGGTGCTTTCACTTCCACAGACAGTTGTAAGCACTGTGTAACTGCCTCGGGGGTGCTTGACCATTTTAACACAACGTGGTGCGATCATCCCCCTCGCGCGGAGTGAGGGTTCTCCACCCCGCACAACATGATCTACTCGACCACCATTATGGTTACCGCCAAATAAAACCGAAGGTAAAAAAAAAAACGGTAACCTGGTTGCCGAGTTCACGAAGTGAATTGGCTTGTTTTACAACGTCGTTGCCAAGCGACGAAAACCCAATCCCGATGGCAAACACCGGGGGGGGCGGCTTGTTTTACAACGTCGTTGCCAAGCGACGAAAACCCAATCCCGATGGCAAACACCGGGGGGGGCGTGTGGTTCCCCAAAAAGCATGGTTGGGCCGCACGATTGGTGACCACCATCCACCCGTTCAGCACGATGGTTGCTGTGGTTGTGCTGTTTCGAAGTTGCATGATGGGTGGGCTGCTGTAGAAAGGTGCATTATCGGAAACCGTGACCCCTGTTTATTCCCTCCCTGAAATTCGAAGTGGAACCAGCAACACGTTGGTTACCCTGGGGGATATCTTTGTCGACCTTTAGGGAAAATACGCCCCTTACCCATTGTTGAGTTGCCCCCGCGGTAGTCCAGTTCAGGAAAAGTAGACAACCCTCTCTCCCCTATCCAAACGTACCTTGTATTGTAGTTGGTGCCAGAATGCCGCACCCCGGCTGGCACGTGCCATGCCCCCCCCCCCCCCCCCCCCCCCCCCCCCCCCCCCCCCCCCCCCCCCCCCCCCCCNCACCTTTTCTTTTTTTTAATCTAGTCTATCTGTCTGCCGACGGGAGACGTTCTGAATCCCTCCGCCATGAGAATACGGAGCCGGCTCACAATCGTTCCTCCTCCTTGTCTTCGTTCGGGATTGCATTCGACAGGAGATACTGGATGACAAGTTGATGACGCTGAGACTTTCCAACGGCTACACGGCGACGCTGACCAGTGAAGAGCTCCGGAAACACGCGGGGCTAGGCAAATTTCCAGTCAAGGCCATCAAGATGAAAGGATCGCAAGGTGAACAGGGCGAATGTAAAAGGTCATGTTCATGCGGCCATAAATGGCCCTTTGCAAGCTACTTCTATGTTGGTCGGCACGGAATATCCTTTCGATTTTGCTGGCCAAGCAGTGTGTGCTGCCGTGGCAGCACCTTGTCAAGCCTCTCGCTGGTGGGATGTCTCGGTGATGTATCAGAAGCGTTTGGCAGAATGGTACTCATCTAATGACGAGTGAAGCAAGCCTTGTGGTACAACTTAGTATGTGCGGGGTCCACCAGGTCGCTATGCCAAAAGACTTCGTGTGCCAGACAATGGTGGAGGCCTGGACGGTTGTGACATCAACATCCAGCACTGATACACGTGTCAGCGCCGATGTAGCTCTTGTCTATGTGGCGGGGTTGTGCAGGAGAGACCATCGAGGTGCCATGACAAGTTACGTAGTTTATTTCTCAAGTATATTATCAGGTCTTCCGTGCTGTTCCAATTAATTATGTGCAGTATAATAACACAGGTTTAGCACGCTCAATTTAGCACGCACAGCTGTCTTACGACTACTGTAGATGTTGACATGCAAGCTTCCTGCAAGCCTCCCAACCACTTCAACAGGTACAGCAAAGTCATGTATGAGGCCTCTCGTGGCCCGCTGCCTATCCTCTTCCCCTCTATTTTCTCGCCACGCCCGTCGTTTGTGCGCGCTGTCGCCGATACCTCAGCCCTTAATCAAAGCGGGGATCTTCCGAGCGGGAACGGCCTAGTTTTTCTCAAGTGCATGCTCACTCCTTGCAGCTGTTCTGAGACTGACAACGCCGCCGCCGACACCGGTGCTGCCTCTGTGACGGTGAGGAAGTGTTATTTTTGGAAAGGGGCCCTCCGCATGGAACTGAACACCCTGATCCTCCCCCCCAGGACCAAGATTGACGCCCAGGATCAGGTAGACTGCACGGCCCGCTTGCAGCGGTCAATTGTATGGTATTTGTTGTGTATGGTAAATCCTATATACCCTTTATTGTATAGGCTCTCGTGTCGCGTTCTAGAACCCATATACGGCGGTGTATAGGTTCAAGTACGGTCTCACTTTTCTGCAGGCTGGATTATTACATTGTAAGGCCGATATGATTCGTGTGGGTGTGTTGGTTTGAGCATGGTCATACTCTATCCAAGAGGCGTTGTGTTGCATTCTAGAACTCATATAATACCGGGGTGTATAGGTTTAAGGATTGCTATACTAAATCCTTAACAATTAAATGTACAGTAAACTACAGCGGTTTTTTCTATAGAACACTAAATCCCGTATAACGAAGCATATATCGGTATGAGTATACTATACTAAATCCCATTCAAGAGACCCCCCCCCCCCCCC